GAATGGAACATGGTCTAGAAGAATATATAGGAAAAGATCAAGACACATCCTGAGTGGGTAGGTAGCAGACAGGGAAGTTTTCCCTAAGGAAGTGGAATTTGAGCTGTAAAAAGGAGAATTAACTAGAAAAAGAGGACAAGATAAATGTCTTGTAATCTCACTGTTATAGAATGTCATAGCTAATATCTTGTGGTGTATACTTCCAGCTTTTTTACTATCCATGTACAAATATATATATACACATGTGTATGTGTTTATGTCACTGGAATAAACCTCAGCCATAAACTCTAGAGTGCAAAACATCCAACTTCCATTTTCTGAAGAATGCTTATCATTTCTATTTTATTTTCTCATTTTTTAGGGGTAACTGAAACTATCAATGCAAACTCTGTTGTTTTCTTTATGGCTGCATTTATGTTAGAGGATACTTATAGAGTATCTTAGAGTTGTTGGGAGGAAGGAGTCCATGTGTTTCTAGTATCACTGCCCTATATAATTCGCCACTCTTGTTCCTTGCTTGTGCCTTCTGCAGACATATGGCTTCTCTATTTGCTTCTGTGCCATTCTTGAATGATCAAAACTTTCTCTGTTTCCTCTACTTCTATGCTGGAATACAGAAAACTTGGTAACACCTTATTCTATCTGAACAGAGTATTATAAAGTAGCCTCGTCCCAATATGTCTCTTAAGAAGCATGGCACAAGTCACCTGCACAATCCAGTCGAACATACCTATGTAAGGAAATTCTAGGTAATAGCAGACTAAATTGACTTGGAAGGTTCCCCTCTTCCAACTTGAAACTCACAGAAATTACAGAACATGCTCTCCTAAAAATAGTAAAAGAGTCTATTTCATTATCATAAAGTGGAAATCCTGGAGGAACAATTAACAGTGAACAGGAGATAAAAACAAAAAGATGGATATTGACTTTAAGTTCTGGGTACCAGAATTTAATTACGCATGATGACAGGAAGCAATGCCAGTAGGCAGTAGGAGATGGGAAGTTGATACTGAATTCCTGTTTAAATCCAGAATCCACAGACATACAACAGTACATTAAATGATGACCAGAAAACCTTTCTCAGAGCAAAGATATAAAACAAGAAAACTAGTCTTTTACTTGAGGTCATGGGAACAATCAAAATCCAGAAAAGTTGTAGCCACAAGTGTGGACTTGAAGCCACAATTTCTACATATTAGTGAACCCAAAGGACATAAACTACCATAAAAATTAAACTGGTACTGTTGAATCTTATTTGACCCTGGCAGAGGTAAACTCAAAATCAGAGGTAATTAAAACATTAAAATATAGACTTTCAACAAATCACTCAAAATGCAGCATAAAAAGATGATGTGTAAAATATGAATAAGTAGAATGACTTTTTTATGTTAGTATGTTCTATCCTGAATAGAACATATCAAAATATGCCCAGAAAAGGTTCCATAAAGAGAGTAGAGCAAATGGGGAAAAGGCATATTTGAAGCAATGTGGCACAGAAGACATGACTCCTCATACTGAACAAACTGAATCTTAAGCAGATGACATACAAACAAAACTAGACACACCTTAGTGTAGTGCATCAACTATATTTGTATGATTGTCTTCAAGAGCTTTAAGTTTTGAGAAGTCACAAAGCCTTTCCCTAAACTTTTTGTGAAGAATGGAATGAGAAAAAAAAAAAAGTAAGAACTAGTGTGAGGGGGAAAAGGTGGAATATAAGTTTGTTTCAAACAATCTATAGTAAATGCTCACATGTAAATATATGTACACTTACAGTCTCTAGTATAATTTTAAATTTCTGTTTTAAGAATAAATAAGAAACCACCTTCAAGGAAAGGAAGAAATGACCATTTCTTTCCAGGATTCCAGTCAGAGAGTACATGGAAATGTTCAATAGTTCTTGGTATCACCCCATATCTTAGTAAATCATTATATACTTTCTTTTGTCTAACTACTCACAGGTTTCCCATGGAGAAATGTCAAAATGAGTGCATTGGAAAATGGTATCCACTGTTGGTCACACAAAAATCTCTACATAGCTTGTTTGTTTGAACCTTGTTTTCTCTTAGACATTAAGTTCTGAGCATATCTTTCTAATCTACAGCAAAGTTAATTAACATACAACAATGGTAGTTGGAGCACTGTACTGATGTGATACATTACAGACCTGGAAGGGATAAGGGAGACAGAGTGAGAGAACAGATGAATTATGGGTAACAACCTAAAGATACTTTCTGAAAAATTTTAGCCTATTACTAATGTAAACATCTCTATGTATGTCTTAAGAAACAAAATTTGAAGAAAATATATTGTGTAGACAAACACTGAATCATGAAATTGATTACACTCATTTTCACTTGAATCTCAGCATTACCTCCAAGGGATGCCTCCCAAAAGACCTACCTTGGAATTTCCATATTTCATATTTCTCCAGTCCCTTGCAATATTTTTATATTTCATTGTCTGTGCACTTCTAAATTTATATTGTTTCCCATTGAGAGAAAACTATTGAAGGAGGCAGATCATCATCTTTGAAAAATAAGTAATAACAACACTGAAAGTAATATAATTAAAGCAGAAAAATAATTTCTGGGAAAAGCATGACTTTCAAGCTTCAAAACTCAGGTTAAATGAAAAAGTGGAGAATTTATAAGCATTCATCTTATCTTAATAAAGTAAAATTAGAAGTAAATACTAAAAGAACACCACTAAATGTAACTACTTTATAATATAACACTGTTCTTCTAAATAATCCATGGGTCAAAGAGGAAATTAGAAAAATAAAATTGCAAGTGTTAAGGAATGGAAACTACATTAATATCAAAGCCTACGGGACATGGTAAAGTTTTACTCAGAAAGTCTTAATTATCATTAGTACTCAAGAAGACCATGAATAAGATAAAAAAAAAAAAGCACTTGTTAGAGCATTAGCAAAAGCATGATAGAACAAATCCAAAGAAAGAAGGAATCAGTAAAGTTAAAAATAATGACCAAAAAAAAAAAAAAAACAATTGGAACAATGATAAATAAAAAGCTGTTTTTGAAAAAAAAAAACATAGATTTTCATGAATACAATTAAAAAGAGGGAAACAAAAAACAAAAGTATACAATATATGAACACTAATTTTTTAACCATATATAATAAATATGTGTGATGAATTTTAATTTTATACAAAAATCTATGACATTAAATTTGAAAATCTAAGGATAATAGATGGTTTCTTAATGGAAGTTATCAACATTAACCTAAGAAATAGAATATTTGGGTAGACAACTAAATATGATTATAGATCTACCACTACAAAAAGAACCAAGATCAAGTAGTTTTGCAGTTCAGGTCTGTCTAACCTTTAAAGAAAAAATGATAGCAATGTCATTTAAATTCTACCAGAAAAGAGGAAGTAAGTTGAAAGCTCACTAATAAATTTTATAAAGCTGACAAACCTAAGACCAAAAATTGTTAAAGATAGTATACATAGAAGATAGCTATAAACAAAGACTAATGGTAAATATAACATCAAAATGAAATATTAGTTTTAAAACATATAAACAAATATAACCAAGGGAGTTGGCATGAAAAGTACTATACTGTAACCTCTTAAGAATTGACCCATAAAAGCAAAATTGGTCAAAACCAAAATTTCTATCAACACAATTCACTTCACAAATTAAACAAGAAAAAATATTTCTGTCAATAGGTATTGAAAAATCATATGGGAACAAATTGGCAGCTACTCCTAATAGATACCAACAGAAATAGAAGGGAATAATTTTAATATTGAAAGAAGTTTTCCCAACAATCAGCAGCAATCCTCCTTGTAACCATGAAATGTTAAATTTATTTCCACTAAAAGTAACAATAAGTCAAGGTCATCCACTAGCTCCGCTATTTTTATTCAATAGTATTTTTTTGGAGATGAAATCTATTATGGAAATATAGAAAATAATTAGTGTAAAATTGAGGAATGTTAAAAACAGTTTCTCTTTATATTTGACATGACTGTATTTTTCTAAAACACAAGGGATTATTAAAAACCACAGCCAGGCCCTCCCTGGTGGCGCAGTGGGTTAAAGCACAGCACTAAGAAGCTTAAGCCACTTCCACATGAGTTCGATTCCCACCTGCCCCGGAGGAGATCCACATGGCGAGGGAGACCTCTCCTGACCCGCCCGCTGCTCCCCTCAGCAGTGTACTTCGTGGATCTGCCTGTTCTGCTCCTCACTCTGTGTCTGGTGAGTCCTCTCACCCTCCACATCTTTGGCCTGTACCCCAGTTCTGTATGAATAAATAAATAAATCTTAAAAAAAAAAACCACAGCCAATAAAGAAATATTCCAGCAAGTTTCTAGTGCATATTGCACTATACAAACCAGATGCTGATATTATTTTCTTATTCTTTTGCTTAAAAGGACATACATATTACAAATGGAATGGCATATCATCTATCACTTATTCTCAGAATGTGTCCATCAATTGCAAATCTAACCATTATTTTAGTGTCCATGTCCCTCTGACACATATTTCATTTCTTCATTATATGACTTTATTTGTACCCAAGTATATTTTATTAATTTAAGTTGTCTGTCCTGCTTTTTGATAAGAATATCACTGTGTCCTGTAAATATCCACTAGAATGTTTAATTCATAGTGCTCAAGCCCTCTAGATCTGATAGCTCATTTCATGCTTTAAAAAAATCAGTTTCCTATCTTTAGTTCCAAGGCATACATGAAAATATATAATAACTCTCCTACTTGGAAGACTAAATTAGCAAGCAGACTTTCAAGGTCTCAAATACACTGATTAGTTTGTTCATTGTCATGTGTCTCAAGATAACATTAAGATTGCTTTGAGTGAAGTGTTGCCACTTGATATAAGTCACCTGCTAGACAACCTTTTACAAATTAAGGCATTTTTCCAAAGTGCATTGTATTTATGCTTTGGGGGTTTTAATTGTCTTCACAATAGACTCATAGCACACTGAATTAGTATCAAAACCCAGTACTTTTCATTGTATCTTTAATAAAACAGATTCTGTGATATAGTACCTCACCAACAGTCCTCAGTACATCATACTTCAACGACAACAAGAAGAGCAATAATATTTCCATTCATAGAGAATAACATTTTGTAAATAATCTATGACTAATAATGTATGAAAAGTCCTGCCAGAAAGTAGAGGAAACATATTCAATGTTTAGGGCTGGGAAATAAAGTAAAATTAAATCCCTACTTCACACCATACACAAAAATATATACCAGGATTAAACACACACACACATATACAAGCACAGCTATTATTAAAGGTTTGAAGAAAAGATAAAAATTTGAGGTGAGAAAAGTCTGATTCAACCTGAGTCCAAAGGTAGAAGCCACACTGGGAAAAACTGAATGATCTGACTACCTAAAAATATAGATCATCTGCAGAGAAATTCTTAAATGAGGTAAGATATGCTTATAAGAATAAACATGACTGTATTTCAAGTGAAATAAGAGTTGCAAAACAGAATAATATATGGACCATGAGTTCATTTTCATCATTTATGTTTGTACAGACATAGAATCTATTAGACTGATACTAGTAACTCTGTAAAAATGAATGAGAAGAGGTTACTTTCCTGTTTTAATTTATATGTTTATCTGTTTTAGTTTTTTTATAGGTATGTGCTGCTTTTATGGTTTAAGAAAACACAATAAAGAAGTTTAGAGTACATTGTGAAAAACATCCATTCAGAGTGCTGGGAACTGCCAAATATGTCTCAGAATGGAGTCAGTACCCAGTTGGATACATAATCTTGTCTTCCACTACAGAAACTACAGTATGACTTTCTTCCCCAGATGCTAACATTTCCCCTTTCCAAGCTAAAACAAATATGTACCTGTGCCTTCTATCAGCTTAAAAAAAAATAGCTGAAAACAGATTAGAGGGATTTACTAATAATGTTTGAATATTTCCCCAATTATAACAAATCCACCTAAATAAATGTGGTTATATATACAGGTTGTATAATTAAAAACATTCACAGGTTAGGGCATTTATAGTGGAAGACATAGAGATATTAATTTTATATCAAAAGGATCATCCAGAATTTAATTTTCTTAAGTGGCAAAATGCAATACTTCCAATTTTTTGTTATAGATTTCATAGGCCAGTTAAGAGGTGATGATCGAAGATGTTAATGAAGATCACACTCCAAATCAGCTTGAATGGGTTTAAGCTTTATAAAATATTTTAAATACTGTTTGTTTAGCTTGGTCTTGCCTAGATTCCTTCTTTTCTAATGTATCAAAAAAGAAGCAATTCTAATATCTAATAGACTACCTCTGAAAAAAAGAAAAGAAATAACTAAAGAGGTGACAATTCATTTTACATGAGTTTAGTAACAAATTATTATTACTCATTGGACAAAAAAATGCAGAAAGAGTAATCAATGTGTTGGGGAGAATGCAAGTACTACAGTCATCTGCTCTAAGAATGTATATCTCTCAAATTCTATATGAATTTTCCTTCATGATACATCTTAATAATCATAAAACTACCATCCACTGAGGCTCTAGGCAGAGGACATTTGTAATTATGTCAGAGAAACACACTCTAGCCCTTGAATACCAGCATTTGATTTCAACAAGTCCATACCCATAGCAGCATGATTCTCCTCCTTTGAGGGTAACAATATCTAGCTACTTCAGTTAAGCCTGATTCCTTCAGCACTAAATAAACAAACTTGTGACAATAATTTGGTTTCTGATGTGAATTGTTCTTAGGGAGAGAATGTACTGAGCAACAAACACTTAAGAATCTGATCTACCTAGTAACTGTATTTCTTATAAGAGCATAAATTATCATTTTGTTTTGTATTTTCAAAGAGAAATTCCACTCCATTTGGTGCTATGGCCTCAGCAATCCTAGCAATGCTCACTGAACAAGAAACTGTCAGTCCAAAGATGGGTGTTTTACACCCACTTTTCCCTTTAAGTGTAACAGGTCAGTGGGGTCAGCCAGTCACGCTCAGTGGTGGAGGGCCGGCATTTGCAGAAGCCTATAGAGTTAGCCCTCCAGTAAGACGTCCTCCCCCTCTCCTCCCTGCCTCCCTGCCCCCTACCTGGCCCCAAGCACACAGACTGCACAGGCCTCTCCACAGGCCTGAGGACCCAGAGGAGAGGGTCCAGCACGGAGGCAGGACACTGAAAAGCAGACACCCCTTATCCTGCTTAAGACCACCCCCTCAGGGAAGGCAGACCAGGAGCCAGTATCCCAGTTTGCTGCCAGACAGTCCTGGTCAAAGGCAAGGAAGTGCCACAGCTTGAACAGAAACTGGAGGAAACTTGCCTGGGGTATAATGTAGCATGCATGATGTAGCATAGGAAGTAAGCATAAGCATGCCTAGAAAAGTCATTCTCAAGGGAACTTAGCAGAGAAATTAAGCAAAAGAGAGGCATAAGCACAGCATTTTCCAGAACCACATCAATTTGCTAAACCTAAAGAAATCTCTTTAGAAAGAAGGCAAGTAAAACCAGTTTCCTGTGCCCCTTGAAATGCTATACTTCGGGGGACCATTTGTAAGGGAACTGCCCTCCATCTTTGCAAAATGCCTTTGAACACACTGGACTGGGATAAACCCACTTACAGTCCGAAAACCATCAGAGTAGAACAAAACCAGAACAGCAGGATCCTTTGAGTTGCCACTTCCCTCAGCTTCCCATGAGCTGTCATCCTTTCTCAGACAGAGGACCGGGCCTCCTCCTGTCCCCGTGAGCTGCCACAGTCCTACAACTGTGCCCTTCCCAAGATGACTGAGAGTGGCCCTCTTGCATGAACTCACAGCACGACAACAACGTGTGGCCTGGCCAAGAGGCCTCCCAGGTCAGGCAGTCCCACACCTGTTCCACGAGGCACTTCCAGAGTCTGGTGATTCAGTCATAAACAACACCTGCTGGGGGCCCCCAGAGTAGTGCAGTGCACCTAAGGCTGGGCCATGCTAACACTAGTTCCTCTCAGTCTCTGCTCAACCAGGGATCGCCAAATCCTGCCTCCAGCCCCACATGAGGTCACTGTGCTCCATGGTGACCACCACTATACTCTGTATCCAGTGCCCACTGGTGCTTGGCCGGGTGTGATGGGAGTTCAATGGTCACTCCAGAGATAAGCACAAGGAAACTATTGTCATTATCTCCAAGAAGGAGGGACTAGACGTTGGAAAGAAGGGGAGGGAAGGGTCAGGAGACCTGCAAGGCCTGTGTCCCTGCCACAGGTGGCTGTTGCTTTCACCCCATGCTGAGACATCACTCAGAACCCCAAGGTCAACATGGCTTGATCTGAAATTTCTTCACAAGTTCAAGCTACAAATCTGGATCAGGGGACAATTTTGTTGTCGTTTTCTCAAATATCTCCAGTGAGTATTTTTTAGGAAAACATTTTTCTGTCAGGCTCTGAAAATGCATCTACAGTGTCATTGAATTTTATGAATAAAATGTATAGGACTATGAACAGCAAAAAGAGTCTGGAAGGGGATACAGTGTCTCAGTCCAGTGCTGCTTTTCTCCAGTGGCCATAGTCTGTTAGTTTCTTTAGCCCTCTGCTCATTCTTTCTCATTCTTCTCTCATTCCCAAGTCTTCAATTCATTCATCATCCACGTTCTTACTTTCAGCCCAGTTTCCTCCTCTGATCTCCAGATCAATACATTAAAATGACAACAGGGTTTCTCTACCTAGCTGTGGCACAGGTACCTCTATTTTACATGGATTTTACATCTTTTTCTGCTACATAGTAACAGAGTTCTCTTTTCTGCGCCCCACGCTTACAAACGTGTCCAAAGAATCCTCACATATATGTGGTTCACTAAGGGCACCATACCGAGAGACTTTAAACCAACCATTCCCTAGTCGTTTTGTCTGCTACATAAGACGTGAGAGCACACATGTGAGCCTGGGCTTAAAGCCAGATGATAACTGAACAGCAGATTTTACTCTCCCCTGGTCTCATATCTGATGCAGGACAGCATCCCAAAACTGAGTAAGAACATGTTGTGGGGGCTGGTGAGATCATGTCTGAGGAAACACACCGAGTCCTTATTCCTTTGAGAAATTATCTTAACAGCTGCCTTGCAGGAATGACAGAACTCTACACAGCACTCACTTAATAAATGCTATCCTTTATTGTTATTATTTATTAAATGACACTGACACATGGCAGAATGCCTCAGCAAAACAAAGGTCAACCAAAAAACTATCAATCCTGCTTTCTAGGGAATTAAGGGTACTCACTTTTCTTAATTAACTGCTAAGTGCCAGAAGATGCTAAGTATTTGGCATGTGTTATTTCATTTTGTCCTCATAACAAGCCCTGTCTTCACCACTCATCTGTCATTTCAGAGAGGAAATTTCAATCCATCTCATTTTTTATATAAATATGTTTTTCACTCAGTACATGCTCTCAAAGCAATCACCTGCTCCATTACCAGCACGTCTCTTTTTCCAAAACTTCCTAAAAATCAATAGTCATTTCAGATAAATAAACCACAAAAATGAATAAAAAGTAAAAAGATAAAGATCGCACACTATCCTTCCACCCAAAGATAAGCACTATCACTATTTGGGTGTCTGTTTTTAGGGTCTTTTTAAATGTATGTTATATTATCCTCAAAAACAGAATCATACTATGAATTCTGCTATTGAAACTACCTTTCTCATTTAACAATGCATGATGAATATATTCTCTTGAAAATATAGATTTCCATCAACATTTTTATCATATACCATGTGAATACTCTTTAATTTATTTAACCAATCCAGCGTGCTAGTCACTTGTCTGTAATTTTTACTATTTCAGACTATGCCGGGATTATACAGCCTTATACAGACAGTCTTTGGCCAATAATGCAATTACTCCCTTGGTATAAAGGGTTTATATATTTTAAGGTTTATGGTATGTGGTACTAAATGGCCTTCCCCAAGCCTGTGCCAGGGTAAACTCATCCCCAGCACTAGAGTATGAAAGAGTCCATTTTGCCACGCCCTCACAGACACTGCACAGTGGGAGACAGGGGCTTCTGTATGAGTTCCTATTATTCTTTCTAGTAAAAAAAAATTGAGTGGCTCTCCGGGTCCAGTGTGTGTGTGAGGGGGTATTCAACTAGCTTGCTACAAACTGGTCTCACCCAGCTTTCAAAAGTATTTACTTTCATTCCTTACACTCCCAGTCTAAATAGACCGTGCCCTCACTGTCTAGGAAGAAAGTTCCTACCTCCAGGTCTTCTTACACCAGTGACCCTTTCGTCCCATTTCATGGAATGCCCTAGCCAATTATCCAATTCAGGACTCATTTTAAAAGGCTACTTTCTACATGAATCTTGAGCTCACTACCTCCCCCACAGAAGCTTCAGCTTCCTCTGTGTCCTGAGAGCGTACATCACACAATCACTATATGCTCCAGATATTCTGTTATCTTGTTTAGTTTGTATGTTTCTTATCTTTCTATCTAGATTATAAACGAAAGGACAAGGATGGTTTCTTTCTTTCTTCTTTCTTTTTTTTTCTTTCCAGCATTAACATACAAGTTTATTGATGATGCACAAATAAAGTCAATGTAAATGACAGGAGGGAGCTTACTTAGGATGAATTGGTTCACTGTCACTTATGTGGAGGAAACAGTGAAAATATTTCAATCTAGGCAGGGAGATAAAAAGCAACAAACATTTTCAGAACAAGTAGTGATATTCATTCATCCAGCTTAAACCCGAAGATCAACTCGGATAATATCTGTGTTGATGATACAATATGATGTTCATTATTCAAAATTGGCAGCTGAAAGGATTCCTTGGCCATATAAACAAGGTGGAGAAAAGGAATAGTTTACAATGTGTGTTGCTTCTGCACTACAAAATCAACAAGTTACTCTTGGTTCTTTGGGATCATATGTTCAGTCACTTTGGCCATGAATTTTCCAACTTTTACTTTCACCAAAAAATCATGGTGACTTTCTATCCCCAGAATCTTATCAGCACAAACTTGAAATTCTTTTAAAAAGAAAAACAGTGAACCTTCGCTGAACTGATTCTGAGTAGGTTCATTTTCTTCCCATTTAAAATGGTCAATTATGTTCTCAAATATGACCAGAAGTTTAAGAATAACCTCTTTGTTCTCCTTCTTATTAAAGAGGGAGCCCAGGGAAGACGGCACTTGGGCTCTGAGAAGTTCTCTGGGCATGGCTGGATTTTCAGCCAAATTCAAAAGGAGTTTCAAAACCTGAAATTTGGTTTCTTCATTTCCCGTGGAAAATAAACGGAAAAAGTCTGAAATAGAATTAGCAAGCATGTGCTGATACTCATTAGTAACAGTCATATTGGTAAGCAATCTCAGTCCAGCCAGCTGCACAGATGAGTTCAAGCGAGAAGTGATTGTGTCATCACACACTTGATTCATGTATATCTTAAGCCTGCGCTGATTTTCAGCATTCACACTCAAGTTATTCAGGACAATTAAAGCCTTCTCCTTAACGATGGGATCCCGAGTATTGAGAATCTTTGCAACAATTGGGAGACCACCCAGGTCACGAATAATATCTCTGTTAAATGCATAAGCAGCATTGTTACCCAGAGCAATTAAAGCTGCTTCCAGAATATAAGGCTTCTCAGACATCTCAACCAAGCAAAGAACTTTCTGCAGCTCTTGAGGGGATAAAATAGTATCATCTGAATTGGGGGAAGCTCGTTTCTGGACTGCTCTACGAGCCCGGGTAGCCCTGGCCCTGGCCCTGGCCCTAGCTCTGGTCCCGGCCTCAGTTCCAATCCGGGCCCAAGGTGGGTACCACACTATGCCCTTGTTTTCACTGTTGTCATCATCATCATCAGACCAGTCATTGTACCTGGCCCCAGGACAATCCCCAGCATCATCCATATCTCCAGATCCACCCTCAGCCATTTTCTCCTTGTTCTGTTTTCTTCCCCGGGTCAGTCTATAAATGCAATAGCAGGCACCAGCCCCAATCACCAGTCCCGCAGTCACCCAGCCTACTTTCCTGGCGTAGCCCATGCAATCGTCCCTGACAAGAGCAGGGACCAAGGAATCAATGGTCACTCAGGCTGGGGGAGGAGGGCTATGGCCTGGGTGTCAGGCAGTAGAGAGTAATCCTCTTCAGCCACTTCAAGGCCAAAGTAGCCGATATTGCAGGTGGACCTAAGGATGGAGGAAGGAAAGGGGTTTGAGTTTCTCTTCTCTTTGCGTGGCCCTATGCAGAGAGTTGCACAGAGGGGCAGAATAGTTAATGGTTACTTGGTAGGAAACCTAGATTGTTAAACAAAACAAAATCTCTCCACCCAGTCATTTCTCCCTCCCTAGCCCCTCCTCAGCCCACTCCCAACCTAAGCCCAGATAAAGGGAAAAGAGACCACAGTCTCTGCTGGAACCTCAGACATCCCGACTGCGAGTGTCTCCAGAGAGTGGCACTCTCGCACTAACCTCCTCAAGTCAGCCAGATAGCCCCTTCTTCCCTCCCCTGGAGGTGAGCCACGCCCAACAACCCCTGCGGTCTGCAGAGAGATCAGACAGAGCCAGTGAGAACTGAGGTCTTAATGGATTGATAGCGCATTCCTCGCTTTCCTGATTCACTTTCCAGGTTGTCGTATATATATGTGTGTGTGTGTGTGTGTGTGTGTATGTATATATGTATGTATATATATATACACAGAGAGAGACACATATATGTGTCTCTGTGTGTGGTGTGTGTGTGTGTATATATGTATATATATTAACCTCTCTACGGCATCCAAAACATGCACATGCTTGCCCCTTTCCTAGGCTGAAATGGGAGGGGTGTTAGGGCAATAGGTAGAATTAGGCGCGCCTGTCCAACCGTAGCCGATTCCAGCCCCTCCCCCATCGCACGCAGCCCCCACGCCCACACCGACCTCTACTGATCCGTGGAAACTTCCTCCCTCGCTTCAAGTGGTGCCACCTGCTACGGCAGACCTGCAGGATGACAGATCGAAAACATGGGGACTAAGTGCTGTTGAGAGAGGAGGATTATGAACAAAGTGTCTGATAGGTTTCCCTCCCGTCATCCTCCCCCTCCCTGTCCCCCTCCCCCGCGACACACGCGTGCGCGCACACGCACACACACACTCACACACACACTCAACGCACGCCATTTCGCCACAGTCCCGAGAGTGTGAGATACACACTCCGACTCAGACCTAACCTAGATTATTGCCATCTCTGGTTTCTTCTCCCCGCCCCACCACCGCCCCTCTGAGGGTTCGCAGATGGTCTTACCCTCAAATCGACCTTCACCGATCGGGGTTAATTTCCTTCCTCTCCCCTTGCCTGGCGTGGTGCCGCAACTACTGAAAGACTGGCAACCCGGGAGAAGCTCGCACCCACTGGACACAGAGCCACGGTCAGGAAGATCCAGTCACCAACAGAAAGACGGGAAACAGCCGCGACTCAGTGTTTGGTGGACGGGCCCGTCCTCAGGACATGAAACTCTTTCCTAATTCGGAGGCCTGACAATCAAAGGTTTCCCACTCTTATGGCCCCTCTCGGGGTTCTGCTGCCACATCACACTGCACCCCGCCCCCCCTCGCCCCGCAATGTCCAGTCTTTCCCCTCCAGCACTGTCCTGGAGGACTGGGGGCCAACACCCAGGCCACAGCTCTCTTTCCGGATTACGGGCCTCGGCTCCCAGCGGACTCCCACCTCCCGACCTCCGGGCGACTCCCCAAACAACACCCCCCACCCCTCTAACCATTTCGCAGCATCGGTATGGGCTGCAAACGGGACAGATGTCTTGGAAAGCCGGCGGCGAGTGGGAGAGACGGCGGAGGCGCCTCCGGACCCGCGACGGTCTCCGCCCTAACGCCCTCAGCCACCCCCACCTTAAGGAATCTCCCAGGCACAGACCTGCAGGGATCCGGGACAATTTCCTTCTCCTCCTTCTTCACTCTGCCGCAGGTCCGCTCGCCCTCAGGGCAATAGGGAGCTGGTACTCAGACGGGAACAACGACCAGAACAAGAAGGACTTCTGCACACGTCAGCTCTTGGTCACGTGAAAGCTACGTCATCCACCAACTCGGGTCCCCAATTTCCCCTCCCACCAGCAGTGCGGCAGAAGAGGGCCCGCCCCCCTCCATTCCCTCCCCCATACAAGGCCTTGCTACTCTTTCTTCTTTGCTAATCTCATCTCCCCCGTAGATGTTTTTGCCCTTCCTCCCATTACCAGAAAGGATCAGCATCTTCCCCTGGGGCTACTGGACACTTGTACTTTTTTGAAAATTTGCCTCTTCCTTCCCTAGGCTCCTGGGACAGCAACCTCTCCTTCCACCCCCTCCTCCTAGCTATAAATATCTAACATTTCCTCAGAAATCTAGTCCCAGATATGAAACGTACAAGCTTTCAGAGAAGTAGACCCATGGTGAGAGTGTGATTTTTCATTCCTTAATACTTTCTTGTTCTTTTTGTTCTCCCCTCTCCCCCCTCCCCTGCATTCTTTGTGAGAAAAAGATTACTATAAAGCTCTTTTCATTTGAGAAGAAAAGAGTAGGAGTTGGAGACAGATGTTGGGTGATGGCCTCCAAAAGTCACATTTTCTCGCTTGTGGGGAGTGTTACATACTGCACTCAAAGCAATCGCAATGTCTTCTAGGCCTCTAGCACATAACACAAACCTGAATGAGCTGATTAGGTTGTCTGAGAACACAGATGTCTTCTGACTAACCCAGTCTTCTAATCAGGAGAGCCAAAGACCTTCACTTACATCAGTGGGCAAAGAAACCCTCAGAAGCCAGTAACAGGAAAAGTGGAGTAGAAATCACAACTCAGGAGGATAGCTGTCAGGTCAAGGGACATGCACACTGACAAAATGAGTGGCATACAAAGAATGTTATCAAATATACAAGGGTACAAATAGAGAAATGTCATCTTTCAATGAAACCAGTGTTAGAGGAACACTGAAAGGAAGACAAAGACAAATTCAACTAAATCTGGTATCTAGCAACTCGTGTGAAACCATTTCACCCACTGGTTTGATGGCTCGATGATTCACTCGTCAGCAATGATTTAACTTTTTTTTTAATAGTGGGAAAGGTAATAAGGTGATGTCAGAGTATAGAGTCTATAGCTGGATGTTCCCTGAAGCCTGGATAGAAGGTTATGATCTGAGCATAACTTTTTTAAACCCACAATGTGGGAGTACATCAAGAGACTGGGGAGTTTGGGAACAGGCAAAATTTCAGGGCAGTTCATATCAGTGTAACTTCTGGGAGGCAGTGTTAGGACAAGGGTGCCATTTAGCAAACAGAAACCAAATCGACTGCATGTTCCTGTGTTTGGAGAAAGTTTATGTGTAGTGAAGAGGCTTATTCAAGCATTGGAATATATGAAAAGGAGGCAGAAGAAAGTGCTGGGAGCTCCCACCCAAGCACTTTCTGGATGAGAGGGAATTTTGGCTAAGATGAATGGAACATTTCATCCCCTTGATATGTAAGAGTACTTCAAGCTTCCTTAGCTGAAAGCCACTTCTTGAGGTGAACTATTGCCCTTGCTCTGATTGTAAGCTCACCAAGCAACCTTTTGAGTTTATGGCTTCCCAAGTGGTAGCTTGTCTACAGGGAAAGAATGGGTTAGTAAGACTGAGGGAAACAGCCATACCCGTAACAGTTGCATTTCTCATTCCTGTTGAAACTTAGCTTCCCTTGTGGCCTATTTGCAGGGAGAGAATATAGAAATCCATGAGTCTGGCCACTCAAATCTAGATTTATGAGTAAGTCTCTGTGAATAGGGGAGTCTTTCCTTGACAGAGGAATCTGTTCTCAGCATACAGATGAAATCAAGGATGGTGGTGCAATGCCAAAGACAAGACCCTAGATTATAGATGCAACCTTCTAGAAACCTGTCACGGGGGCCAGATGGCTTTCACGCAAATGAAAAATTTGTGCATCTCCTTTTCCATGCTGTATCTCTCTCATGGTCAGTTAATGTGAAATGCCAACTAAAATATGCTGTGACAAGTAGGCCCCCAGGACCACAGCTGAACAAAGGGTTAGTATCCAAAAGAGTTGAAGTGTGCACGTTATGCCCAAAACAGAACAACTTTTTTTTTGCTAAAATTTCACTCTTGGGCCGAGATAATAAACTGAAAATCAATAAAAATGATGACATCCTGAAGAGACTATCAATCATGTCTCCTACAGAGACACCCCCCCCCCCAGAGCTGACCCTGGTCTTCAGCATTCCCTCACTGTTTAAGCTAGCCAGGTTTGTTTTCTGGCACTTGCAACACAACAAATTAACTAATACACAATAGAAAAGCAAGTAACACAAACTGGAAAAGTAATATAGGTCTGAAGATAACAATCTCCTATCATTTTACCCCCTATAACTCCATTATTGTTACCATTGGCTGATCCTCTTTTGTTTTGGGATTCTTTGTAAGTCACACATCACATGTGACCACACACTAATTTAAGCCAAAAGGTTCCTTTTGGCAGTAGCTTCACATAGTCTTTTGCAGGCTCAGGAATTTTAACAGACTTCTCCGAGGAATTGCTTAAGGCTTTTCCTTTTTCTCTTTCAAAACAGTATGTCAGGCAAATAATATGCCCTTAATAAACATTTGTTGGTGGATGTATAAGGAGAGCAAAGTAGATTTTAAATGCTAGCCCCAGGTTCCTTGGTAGGAGTTGTGAGTCAAAATGACAAACAAGAGGGTTGAAAGGGTTGTCATGGGGCGGGGAGGAGGGGAGGGGGTGTTACATACTGGAATAATTGAAAATATAGCAAAGCAGGGAGGTATTTTATACTAAAAAGAGATAAGGAACAGTGCTATTGTCCTTGAAGCCTGGCAGAGTTGTAAAAATGAGTCCTGGTTGGAGAGGCACATCTATGACACCAGAAATACCTATGTTAAGCTCTACATAGTCCTTATTCTCTCTCATGTATATGTTCAAAACCCACAAAAGCTGCTTATGTAAGTACTTAGCAGCTCAAAATGGAATAGCAGATAGTTGAATGTTCAGATTCTGTTAGAGTAAGTCTTCCTAAATGGAATTCATGTTTCTAGAAATAAATAAGGATGATGAAAAGAACAGTATAGCAACATGATGTTGAAAGAAATGAGGTGGGGGGTTAGAGAGATGGGGTATGATATTGGTGAGTGAGTCTGAACTATAAAAATTTGAGGCACCAGAAAGTTGTGACAGACTCTTGACTTCTGAATATTCACCAGCCAGGCACTCTGGGCTCTCAGGCTTACCTCCAGAAAGGGCCTCCTCCACACAGGGGCCCCTCACCCGGGAGCTTCCTGCTGGGGTGTCATATTTCAACGTTCTAAGAAAGAGGCTGCCTAAGGGTCTATATTTAGAGTATGACTCCCCAGCATGGACAGCTGGATGTCTGGGGACTAACTTCTGCATACTTGGTCCCTGAGTTCTGGGATTATCCTGAGGGGCTTTAAGGATAGTGCAGTGAAATGGTAACGGAAGGAGGGAATGAAAAACCTCTTTCTCTGGGTAACTACCTGGGATCCTGTAAACTATCCTTTGTGAGGGGAAAGCGATAAGCATGTCAATGTTGTTGAGGAGATTCAGTCACCACCAGCCCCGCCCCCCACGGAGGATGTTCAACACTAGCCACTGCTAGGGTGGCATGTACCACCTGATGAGATACAGGAGACAGCACACCGGTGTCACGGTGGCATGAAAATCCCATCTGTTGAATCTTGTTCCTCACAGTGAAATAGCTCAGTATTCTCTAATTATAGGGATGTGGGGGTTCCACCATGAAACTTCAAAATTGATTTTTAAAATCTCTGATTGAAAAGCAGGCTAAACTTCAAAGTTACTAATTTGTAAAGTTCATCTAAAGATGTAAGATCTGTCGAAATGGGGCTGGCATAAAGTCTGTCCTCTGAAGTCAGGATGAAAGCCAGCCCATGGTCTTCTATGAAGAGCTCAGTCACCTGAAACTTAATACTGTGGGTTCAGCCAATAAGAAGAAAAGGCTAGTGGTTCACCTCTCTAAAGTCCTCACAAGGAAAACACCCACCACCTCATTGGAGATTCATTCTAGTCATCACTGTATAAATCATACCGAAAGCACACTTGTTTTGTTTGTAAGAATAGTTCTCAAATGTTAATATGTTATGTGAAGGCTATTTCCTGTGCAGCCAAAAGAAAATATTTTCAAGCTGGTACAAATTAACCAAATCAGTGAGGCCTCCCTTTTCACTGGGAGATCTTGTTTATGCTATGTACATTTAAAGATTTGGATTCTTTGTTCTCCCTGTGAGATAGTAGCTTGATCATATTTTCTGATTACAAAATACTGTAGCTCCAGTCAATAAAAAATGAAGGAAGGATGAAATAGAACATGGATCCAAAATAACAATAAAACCTCACCTGTTGGGCTTTTTTTTTTCTTCCTCCTTAGTTTTGGTGTAGAAATGGGATGTGAGAAGGGGTAGAAATTAAGCGGTCAGACAGGGGTTTCAGCCCCAAGAGGCGGATGAGACATTTCCTCAAGAAGTAGAAGTGAGCAGTAGACCCAGAGAGATATTGGCCCTTCTTGTAATTAGAGAAAGGCAAATTCACACACCAGAGAGAGCCTCGGCCACTTCTGGTTTCTGGTATTGTACAGAGGAAAAGAGTGACAGGGCCCAGTGTGATGGGGGAAAGGGGGGAGCTGCGGGGCAGGCTGGCGCCTGCCGCACTGCTTGTGGGAGTGGAAATTGGGGACCAGAGCTCACTGGTGACGCGGTGGTCACGTGACCAAGAGCTGCCTAGAACAGAAGTCCTGCTAGTCGCCTCCGTCTGGGTACCAGCCCCCTATTACTCTGCAGGCAGGCGTGTGAAGGAAGAAGGAAACTAGCCCGGACGGTGCAGGTCGGTGCAAGCGTGGTTTCTGCTTGGAGGGCGGAGGGGGTGGGAAAGGCCACGAGGGCCACGGCTCCAGGCGTGGGCCGTTGGGGGCTGTGTCCCCCGTCCGCTTTCTGCCTACCGCCCCCCAACCCCCTGCCCATTTTCCCAGGGAGACCCGGCTGACTTCGGGCGGGGGTCCGGGGAGTGGATGGCTGTGACAGCGACTCCCAGAAAAGGAAGCTTCCACCATCAGTGCGCTCGTGTCCCGATCTCTGCTCCGTCCACCAAGCACTTCGTCCCCTCGGCCCCTGCCTGTCTGCCGCTCTGTAAGTCTCTTGGCCCGAACGTCTCCGCGAAAGTCGCGGCGAGGGGTAGCGCCCACTGCCCGGGGACCCCCAGAACAGGTCGTTGTGAAGATGGGGCGAGCCCTGGACCCTGGGAGGGGGCGGCGGGCAGCGGAGGGCTAGGGATCTGTGCCGGCCGGGTCCGAGTCGCCCTCTCCTGGCCCCTTTCTCTCTCCACACCCCCTCCCATTTCAGTGCAGGGAAAGGGGTGTGGCGGCCTTTGCCTGGGAAATGGCGGACGACAGGGGCGAGGGGGCAGGGACGCCCTGGTTAGGAAAGTCAGAGGGTGTGAGAAAGAATTTAAACTCAAAGGCCGAAATTTCAGAAAAGAGCCACCGGGACTGTGCTGTCCCCTTTGATCATCCAAGCACGCTCAGTCCTCTTTGCCGGCTGGCTGCCTTTCCATCTGTCCTTCTGTCACACTCTGTCCACCAGACACAGTGGAAGGAGCACTAGCAACAGAAGACAAGGGCACAAGAGGGGATGTACCTGATTTTGGTGGAGGTGGGTGGGAGCAACTGCCTGCGAATCTCTGGGGAGTTGGGGGTGCAGTGGCACCCTTCTGTCACCCTCCTGGCTCTCTGGCCAAAGCCCCACTCCCTGCCCTTCTCTGTGGGGCCTGGAAGAGACACGGGGGCTAATGTGGCTATAGGATGACAGCAAAGCAGACATTGTTTCTTCATAATTCTTAGTAATTCGTCCATTCTCTCACTCAGAACTCACACTCCACTCTGTATCTGGTGAGTCACAGCCCAAAGCCCTAATCCTATCTTTCACCCACAGATTCCTCACAAGAGAGCGACAAGACCCGGGAGAGGCTGAAGACTACTACCTGCCTGCAACACTCATCCCTGTGCTAGGGGTCCTCTCATTCAGGTGGAGCAAGGCCCTCTGATGTCCTGCCCCAGGACAGACTGGAGCATGGGCCGGGCTCGGGAGGTGGGTTGGATGGCCGCGGGGCTGATGATTGGGGCTGGTGCCTGCTACTGTGTTTACAAGCTAGCCATAGGAAGAGAGGACAGTGAGAAGCTGGAGGAGGAGGAAGAGGAATGGGACGATGACCAGGAGCTGGATGAGGAAGAACCGGAGTTTTGGTTTGATTTTACAACCATGGCACGGCCCTGGAGTGAGGATAGGGATTGGACAGAACCTGGGGCCCCTGGTGGCACTGAGGACAGGCCCTCAGGTGGAGGCAAGGCCAACAGAACACACCCCATAAAACAGCGCCCATTCCCTTATGAACATAAAAGTACTTGGAGTACTCAAAGCTTTAAAAATGTCACTTACGTTCTTGGCCTCTCCAAGTGTCCTTCCATTCAGGGTAAAATGCCATTTGCTCAACCCAAGGAAGCTGGCTTTTCATTCAGCCACAATATCAATAGTCATTTGGCCAGACTCTCCACTGTCAGAAACACAATCCCCACTCCCGACCCCGCTCTTGAGGAGAAGGCCTGGTGTGCCCTGGATAACTGGGACATGAGTGCCACTGTCCAGGGCCAGATTAAGATGTCCATCAATGAAGTGTGGCGGGAGGCGGTGTCACTCTGCTGCAGCTCCCTTCTGCAGCAGGCAGGAGTGAGGCTGTTAATAGGCATGACGGTTATTAACGCCGCGCTTGCCAAGCCCGCTTCAGACTTGAAGTTTCCTTTGACAACAGAGGCAAGTGGATGTGCTGACGCCGCTCAGGTTTGGAAACCGCTGATGGGTTTGTGGGAAAAGCCAGGCTCCGCTGGGCAATTGCTGCACGCCCAGAGGCTGCTCTCATCCATGTCCCTCTCTGTCAGGCCCTGAAACAGAGAGCTTCCCCCAGGCACCCCGGTCTCTTAAATGGCCGCCCCCCCCCACCACCACCAGACTGGGACTGAATCCAGCCCCACCCACTTGGGGAACA